GGAGAAGAACACCACTGATATGCTGTGAATGTCGAACTGTACTGCCCAGTCAACCATGCTATTATTTATATTTGAATGTAGTACAATGATACAAGTAATTABTGGAATGCCCMTGATTAGTGAYGGGACACCCARTTAAYTTAAAACATTAAACAGGCTTAGGCCCATTAACACAGGACCAGTTACAGGATAACTTAAACTTAAGTATGGGCTAATAAGAATTCTTATCAGCCGAACACTCATACAAAGAGACTTCATTCTAACATTCTAACAAGTAGCATCCAATAAAGTTTCCTTATTTGCCATTTATGTTTTAAAAGGCGTTTGATGTGTATGTCTAAAGGTGCATCTTGAGGTGAGGTGCACTCAAAATGCTCTGAGGCATACTCTGGAAGCATATATGCCTCTGGTATGGCTCAAGACAGAAAGAGAGAAAATTAAGAGAAGAAAAAGAATGAAAAAGAAAAGAAAAGAAAAAGAAAGAAGATTTCCTCCTCCTCCTTACTCCTCTTGAAGAGGCTTAGACCTCATTGCATTCAGGAGGCTTATGCCTCTTGCATTATGACACCTTACACTTCTTGGTAGTGGAATGCTTCATATCACACCTCCGTATTTCAAAACATTGTTTGCACCAGCCCACCACAAGAAAAAAGGTCAGTGGAAGAAGGATAAATGGATAATAAAAAAGGCCATTATCCAATGTTGGTCCCAAGTATCTGGGGTCTTGGGAGGGGTGGACTGGATACGGTCCTAACATTTGGTATTTTTTCACGCAAAGTGGATAATAAAGTAATATCATATAGAATGCAGAATGCAAAAACTTGGTGCAAATGGCGTAAGCAATATTGCACATGTCCAAGTGATCGGCCACCTTGGGGAGGGACCATAGACCACCTTTTTATAATATAAAAATAAAAAGAATAATATAAAAGTTTTGACGACAGACTAAATGTCATTATTTCGTGGGTGCTAAATAATCTTTCATTGATCATTTATATGAAAGTATAAAAGGATCATCCGTCATATTGTTATGTATTAGGTTCAATATGATTTAATCCATATTAATTTGGATCTGTATACATTCTTGTATGAGGCAATTAATTTCCTGATTCCTGATACAGTTCAATTTAAATATCATGGGGTCCATTACCCAACCATGTGTTGAATATGAGTCACATCATGGTTTTATTCTTTACTTGCTGCTTTTGATATTTGTAGAAAGAATCTATTTGATTTTTTTTTATTGGTAGCAAATATTTTAGTAATTTATCAAAGGAATATTATATACACAATGCCAAGCGTCCCTCTTCAAAGGCTGGACTTATCCATGTAGGCACATACATTTCTTGATTCATACCATTACATTGAAGCCCCAAAAAACATTTTCTTGCCTTTGCATCCACTGAATGGTTGCCTCAAACTCTCGTGATAGACTTCTTATTTCTCTAATGACTTATCTAGAGATCCGTAAGCCTAACCACTGCTGTTCATCCATCTCAAGACCACTTCTGAGTCCCTTTTAAATGATAATGTTTTTGAAGTTAAGAGTTTTGGCTAGCCTCATCCCTCACAAGATTGCTTATCAAGGTTTGAAGTATCAACATGATATGCCCAATATGGGGTGTATCGTATCAGTTTTGAAGACCACCGATTTGCAAAATATTGAGAATTAGAGGATATTAACATTTTGAGATGTTAATATACATCCTAACAAACCTTTTTTTTTTCAAATAACAAATTGATAAACAAAATGAAAAAGGAGTATCAAGCGATCAATATTCATGATACTCAATTTTCTGGTATCATGTGTGTTGATGTTTTGAACCTTGCTGCTGATTACTCTGCTCTTAGGGAGTTTCCATAGCCAATTGGTCCTGAATGTAAGGCTAGTATATCCCCATTGGTACCTCTAAAAATTCCATCTATAAGATATACCAGAAGGCCCTGGTTTGCTAATGGAGATTTCATCAAAGTTGAGCTTTGTTCTTCCAAGGTTTGGTGGAGCCCATTGGGCACAAGTGATGTCCCTAACAACAGTGAATCTATCCACCATCCTGCATCCTATAATTATGTCACCCATTGTGAACGGATCAAACATCTCCATTGTCTTGGCCCAATGTGCCACTTTCACAATTATGCCCTTTTATTACTGCCTCTGTTCTATCTTGCCCTTTGAATATCCTAGTATTTCTTTCTTCCCAAATCATCCATACTGATACTCTTGTACACCTCCATAAAACTCTCTCTTCTTCTTGGCAAGGTGAAGTGATCAGGGTTGAAAAGGCTGGCAGTATCTGAAAAGGATGTCCATCTGCAACCAAAAAGAAAAGAAAACCACTCCCAAATGCAAGAAACACAGAATCTGTTTGAATTGAAGGACTACAATCAGATCCGATATGACTTGTCAAAAATAAAAAAAATAAAAAAAAAAGATCCAATATGATATGTATAGTAAAACTACAATCCAAATCTGATCAGATTTTAATTTTAAGATATGTACCTGGTAAATGATATGCAGTGAACCAGAATTCAGATGTGAGCCACTTAATTTCAAGCTTGGCATCAAATGAATGGTTGGGTTGATGGGGCCATTGCCATTATTGGTAGTCTTTGCCTTTGGTTGATTAGTCATTTTTCCTTGTGCCCTGTAATTACCATTTTTGGTGTCCTTGTCTCCTTCAGGTTACTTCTGGAATGAGCCCTGGATTCAATCTTTATGGATGCACTTTAATTGGTAAGTAATATTGTTTTACCTTATATATCTTCCATGTAACTTCATTCCCAAATGTTTTGGCAATAATTGGTGTCTTTAACTTGGGCTTGCACTTCTTAATTTCTTAGGCATACTGAAGTCTCATTGGAATTGTTCAACATTTCTTTTCCCATATAATATTAGTCATATAATAGCTCATTAGCATTGCATGACAACCTGGCAAGAGGATAACATGGTCTTGGCTGAAAACATGTATTAAAGGGTCAGTTAAACCAGATTGTGCTTGGATTGGACAAGACAAACTTTTAGTATCCACATCAGTCTAAATCAGCCCAGTCATGGTCATTAATTCTTAATTCACAATAACTTGGTGAACTTGTGGTGGACTTGCCTGAGTCATAAAGGTGATATCAGAGTTTTAAGCAGAGCACTTATTGACAATTCAGGCGTTTCTTTGGCTGTTTTCTTTTTTTCTTTTTCTTAGCCCATTCTCTTTTATATGCTAAAGTGGCTTTTTCTTTGGCAATGCAGTTCTTGCTGAGTGGAAACCACCGGTTTATGACAATACGGGTGGTATTACTCTGGTTACTGCCACTACTCGTCGGAATTCACCAAATGTAAGTTCCTTGGGAATGAATTGATTTTCCATTATAACATGGAGGATAGGAAGAACCTAGCTGGTCATTTTCTGCTATAACAAGACATACTTGCAGTGGATTTTGTACCCACCTTTTGTCTAAACAGAGTTATGCAAACAATTGTTAATGGTGATGTTGTTTTAGAGATCAGCTTGCATCCAATGGAGAAAAATCAATTGATTACAGTAAATGACATTGTGCTCCTTGTTATTTCTCATCTTGCATATTTGACTTGCTTTTTGTGCTTCTTGCCAGAATCTGGATTCAAAGATTCACCACAACAATCTTCTCAACAACATACTTGCAAAGGTTTTGTCCTATTCCATGGTCAATATTGCAAAGGTTTCTTGATCTATGCATATTCCAACATGCAATGACTGAATAATTCAATCCATTAGCATCTAAGTGAGCTTATCTCTTTTCCCAAACAACCTTGGTCAATGATGCTAGGCCCTTGAAGAATGTAGTTTTGCAAGATTGTTGGTCCTCTCTACCATCCAAATTAGAGATATGATAGTATGGTTCTGATGAGTTTTTCAAACTCTTCTAATAATTTATCTGGCTGGATATATCCCGGCAGGGCCATTCATTAAGGAGTTGAATTTATGGTAATAGACACCACTTTTGTGGTACAGGTCCATAGTAGTTCAGAGAGAGAGGTGTAAACATGCAGACACAATACATATGTATCTATATATTTGTATATCTGCACACACATACACAGATACATGTGTGTGTATTTAAGTATATGTACCACTTAGATTTTGATTTGTACTGGTTGGGTTGTGCAGGTTGAAGGGAATTTAGCAAAAGCAGATGATGCAATCATGCTAGACAAGGATGGCTATGTGTCAGAAACGAATGCAACAAATATTGTGAGGCTATGCTTTCACCACATTCTTGTTGATCTTTCTTTTGCATGAGGGAGTTTAAGTTCCATTAGACAAGACCATATAGATGGCCTATCAACATTATTTTGGTCTATGTGATGCACTTTTTAGGGACTGATCAGATCATCTAATCTATTCCAATAATCTACACAACCATGTGAAATATAACCAAACTGCTGCTTTCTTTTGGTCATTTCTTCTATGTGATTGGTCAGATATTCTAAAAGAAACTTCTGCAATTGAAACCCTTTATCRATTTAACTGACCTTGCAAGTAGTGGTATTACAATGTTTTGGGGTGTGTGTTGTATAAGGATGGCATTACAATGTTGTTGGTAGACTGCCCTGAAGTCTAAACTTTCTGCCTTAGATTTACCTATGTCTCATTTTCTTGAAATTGCATGCATGTTCTAGCATGCTTTTATCCAAACTGAAAGATACTCCTGTCTTACAATGCAGTTCTTAGTGAAGAAAGGTTGTGTGATGACACCTCATGCTGATTATTGCCTTCCTGGTATAACACGGGCAACAGTAAGTTAAATGAACTTCCTTTATTGTGTATGTCATTTCATTATACTGTATCCCCATTCTTCAGTATAGTGAATTGATGGCATAAAAAATTGTATATAAAAGAATATTGTAAGCATATTTTATCATAAACCTATAATTGTATCAGTGTTCAACATTTTAGGAAATGAAAAGTAGTATCCCCATTTATCTGGGCATCATTGCTTGGTGTTTCGCAGAAATAAGACACTTGTGGAAACAAGTGAGACTTTCAACCCCACTTTTTATGCATTGGAACTAGAGAACCGATTTCCCGATATTTTGAAAAACTGCATTTTTCCGGATTGATCTTGTACTGAACCGGACCGGATTTAAAACTAAATCAAAAGGAGAAATTATACCTGATACGGATACCACAAACATAGATCCCAAGGTGGAAGTTCACGCCCAAATCAGTCCTAAAACTAGCCTCCACTGAAGATGGCGCAATGTATAGGTGAAGTCGGTTCAACAACACTGTTTCCTCCAAAACTACTAACTTGCTTGATCAAAATCATTTCTTGAAAGCTTAGGTCGAATTAGGGTTTCTTGGAAGACAAGAGAAAAGAAGAGAGAGCAAGAGTGTGAAGACTTTTAACCTAGTTTGTCCTCTTCTCTTTTATCTCCTTATGGAGCACTCTCCTAATCTAATTAGGAGATTATCCAAACCTGATTTGGATTTGGACTTTATTAAGAGATAAACCTTATCTTCTTAAGAGTATAGGTGCTTCATACCTAATACCAAATCCAGATTTGACCCAAAGCACATGACAACTTAGTTATCATGTGACAACTTAATTAATCTTATTAATTTTGGGCCTTAGGCCCATTTACTTCAAAGACTCATGACCCAAGGTGTTGCATGCCACTATACAAGCCCACATGGGTTTGTCCCAACTTCTAAAAGAGGCTAGGCCGAATTCACTGCTCAAGGCAGTGAACCCTTGACTAAATCAGCATTGGTCCAGTTTGGACTCAGCATTTACACCTAAATGATCCTTGGATTCTGAAAGAATGGTAGGATCCATCTAATGGACGCCATAAAGGTTGCGGAATGGGTGGGCGAATTTCAAAAATTTCCTACCTTCTCCCAACTGGGAATCATA